CCAGGCTGGTAACTGGGAACTGCCAGTCAGCTGTGGGCACTGGGGTGAGTGAGACCTGCTTTTTGCTGTGACCTTGCTGAGTCGGTCCCCATCCTATCAGCTGGGAGGGTAGACATGTGTCTGGACCCAGGGGTGGTGTCCTGGGGGCGGACTGCCTCATTGTGCATCTAAACTCACTTCCAAAGGTTGTACAAAAGCCTCAAGGACCACGTCCCACCCACAGGTGTTTTAGGGGTGGTTGGCTCTCTGCTGTGCTTCTAAGGGTTCAATTCAAGCAAGACTGGGGCACTCAGTGAGGCTGTGCTGTTTACTTTCTCCCTGGCCTGGGGATCCCCTTTGGGAACCTCTTCTGCAGGTATCTCAATGATTCACCTGTCCTCTTCCTCTCCCTCCTTCCTTGTCTTCTGCCCTGTCTCCATAGGAAGCTCCCCCTCTGCCTGTCTCCAGCTCTTTCTCTTTCCCTCTCCGTACACAGTGTGCTGTGGGCACTGCAGAACTCTGGGCCCCTAGTGACTCTGCCCACACTCTGCACTGATAGACCACTGACCTCTAGCATGGCCCCTGGAACATGAGGCTCTATCTGAGAAAGTTCCCAATCCCCTTTCAAATCCTGTTTGGGAAAGTTCTATTTTTTTCCAAGCAGATGGGCATTAATTAGTGACAGGGTCACACTTAAGGTCAAACTTGCCTGGCATGTGTTATATTTTTTCCAAGCAGATGATAGTTGCAAGACCTCCCTGTCTTAGTACATTTGTTGAAACAAGCTCTAACTAGGAATCCTTCCTCTGACTCTATGAGACACGGAGAGGAAGATAGGAAGCTCACACAGACACAGAGAGAGGCCTTAAAACTCAGAAGGGTCTTTCTCCAAGTCTGAGAGGGATGCCTTTGGAATGTACTCATCAGAAAACCAGGGCCTCCTGCCATCTCCACCGAATAGTACGATCCGAACTTCAATAGTTGCCAGGGAGAACACTCAGCGGCCTCATTGCATTTACTGGGTCACCCTTCATCATTTTTACCTCCCTGACTCTAGGGACACCCACTTGTCCCCCTCCCCCCACCGGCTCCTCATCTCCCTTTGAAACACCCTCACCTCCCTGCCCTTAGTGTTTCCCTCTGGGATGTGGTGAAGAGGACAGGGATCAAGGGTCTTTCCTGAGCTGCAGGTTCCCTGTGCCAGTATCTCTCTCAGACTCCTGAGGTCGAGCGTGACACCCCGCCTTCTTCTCTTCTGTTGCAGGTGCTGAATGGAATCCACACATTTGTTACTAAGGTTTTATCTGGTGCTCCAGGATTCTCCGAGATGGGGGCCAGAACACTGCAGAACAACCAGTAAATCCAAGGCCTTATGTTGGCGGCACCAGTTGACTCTGGGGGATTTGAGCAAGCTGGTTTACAGATTTCACTCTCTTGTAAACATGAGCACTTGGGCTAGTGGAGCCGAATCAAAGCACAGGAAGCCTTCATCAGAGGAAACACTTTACAGCACAAATGCTATTAAAGACCCGCTTGCACAATGTTATGGTCTCAATGTTTGTCCCATCCCACCCCAATTCATATGTTGATTCCCTAACCAATAACGTGTGGTGTTCGGAGGTGGTGGCACAGGGCGGTCACTAGGTTTAGAGGAGGTAAGGAGGGTAGGACCTCTAATGTGGGGTTATAAGAAGAAGAAGAGTGAGCAGAGCTCTCTTTCCCTCCCTCTGCCATGTGCAGCCC